ATGAAGTTTAATTCAAAAGAAAGTAATTATTCTATTATCCGAAAATTCCACTATTCAGCCATTTTTGTCTCTCTATTAATTCAAATACGGGAGTCTCTATATATAATATATGGTATCAAAATGAAGTTTTTTATAATATATTTTAAATTTATTAAAATCAATAAAAAAGGAATTAATTAATGATTTGAAATTGTAACATAGTTTAAATCGATATTGTAAGTAGAAAATATTTTTTGACCAATCATAGTTATAACAATATTAAATTCATATCAGATTTTACGTAGCACATATACATGTACACATATATTTGTACATATTGTGGCCGATATTAATATATTATGTTGTCACCAATTAAACTAGAAAAGAACATGATGTTCTGTAGAAATGTTCTGTAAAAACTTCTGTATTAATAACTGTATATATAAATAGAATTCAATAATGGGAATGAAAGTTTTTGATATCCTAAAAATAATAAATATTTGAAATTAAAATTTTAGACTTAGAATCCATCTCCGCTTTTCTTCAAGCAATTCAATTTATATATCGAAATGTATGTTTTTCAAAAATACAACTTAAATTCTATTTAATTACTATTAGAAAAATCGCTGATACTTCTGAGAGCTCTGAGCAAGAAAATTATTTTTTAAATGCTTATTCCAATGAACAATGAAAATAAAAAAGATGAAGTTGTAATGAATGGATAAAAAGAATGAATACTTTTGCAAAATTAAAAATATTATATAAATACGATATATAAATTAAAACAAAAATAACAATAAACTTTATATAAATAAATGTAAATGTATATATATCATATATTGCAATTATAAAATTATAATTATCATTTTGAAAAATTTTGATATATTTAAGTGTATGTTAAACAAATTAATTAAAAATTAAAAAAATAATGAAAATTATTATAATAATATATATTAATTAATAATATATAAATATTGTTCTGTCATAAAGTCAACATAAAATCTTAACAAATCTAATTATTATTAATAATTTTAAAATGAAAAATCTAAAAATTATTATTTTGATAATTTTAGTAGTTTTAATATTAATCTCATTTAATTCAAATATAACTCTTTTACAACATACAAAATTTTAAATTATTTTTTTTTTTATACTTCATATCAGATCAATTTAACATTCCTATATATTTAATATTTATATCATAATATTTTTTATCTCGAAAGATACAGTTATTTTTAATGAATGTTTTCATATCTAATTAAATATTTTTTAATGAAGATTTAATGTATACTAATATAATATTTCAAAAGCTATTTTTAATGAATTTTTTTCTATTGTTTTGTCAATAATTTTTTCAAAAAGAGCATATATTATATCTTTCTTATTTACATAACAAATCATCTATAACATTTTTTTATTTATTCATCCATACAATCATTTAATTGACTGTTAACCTAAGCAATAAATACTATAGCTATATAGATTTCAATTTTTTTTTATCTACATGTAAAAAAATTAAATAGAATTATAAATAGCACAAATATTTCTAGAAATATTTTTTTATCTTTTTATCTTTTCTCTTTATCAAAATTCTTCCAAATAAAAAAATCATTTATAAATCATTAATACATATTAACTTAAGATATTATAATTATTTGTCCAAAAATTTTCCAGAAAAGACAATATAGAGAATCTATCATACATTGTGCATGATTAATAAAGAATTGAACTTATCAATAGATTTATTACAAATAAAAGTTTCGTAAAAAAAACGTGTTAGAAAAAAAATCGACATATCAATATTCTTTATCAGAATATCGTTATTTATACGTCTCCAGTCGATAAGAAAATAATCCTCGTTCTTGAAATAAGATTTCAAAGAACATTTCTTTACTTTATTAAACTAATACTATTCCTTCATTTACTAGATTATATTTATATTAATTCTCAATCGATATCTATTTTAAATTATTTTATCTATTCTTTTATTTAAATAATTTCAATAAATTTTTATTAAAATTCTTATGGAGTTCAAGTTATAAATTTGAACATGGACATAATCAATTCAATTGGTTTCAAATTTTTTGGTTGGAATATTTAAAATTTTATTATATCAGAATTTAGTTCTTAGTAATCAATAAATTATGATATTTATATTTTAAATTAAAAAAATAAAATTTTATTTTAATATTTAAATACAAAACTTTTTATATTTCAATACTATATATTATGATTTGAAAAGATTAGATTAAATATATCAAATTATTCATTGAAAGGATTTCAAGAAAGGATTATAAATCTTACTTAAATCAAAAATTTTTATAGATATTCATTCTATTCATATTATAATATATATCATGTAAAAATATCATATAAAAACATACTATAATATAAATATATAAATAAAAAATATAAAATATAAAATAAAAATATAATATATATACATATAATATAAATATAAAA